ACTGCACTTCTGTATTATACTTAGATTTATTTGTTATTGTTGTTGCTGTTTTTTCCACTTTCTCTCGATACATTCACCCCAATGGGTGAATAAATGGTATTCATTCAGTTCAAGGGGAAATTATTTGCCGTATGTGGGATTAAAAGCATCAGCACTTTGGATATGAAATTGAAATCGATTCCGGAATAAGTATTTAATAGAGTGAATCGAATAGAAATTGAGTAGACAGATCATCACCATAAAATTCAATACAATGTTTTGAGCAAACACTTAACAGATCGTGCCAATCGCACTCTTGACATACAGCGTTTAATTACTTTAATTACTATTATTCCACAAATCATGCATTATCATTTGTTTAGACACACGCAGTCAACGCGCGCGCCTACTCGCTCGTTTTACAGCGGTAGAAGTTGTCATGTAATCAGTTTCACTAGCATTATATGCATCCCACAATTTGCAAATCATGAAGATTTTTCTTCTGCCATCATTCTGATTGACAGCAAACAAATGATGTTATGATTTCGACAAAAGAAATGAATGAATGCGATGCTAAAGTACATTTGGAATGAGCTGGTACGCTCCCTCAATGGAATCTATGCGAAAAGACCTATACATAAAACCTATTCGCAATTCTGAGTTAAGAAGATTAATCATATATACAAGTGCATTTTTTTCGGTCGTTCATTTGTTCCGAAGTTGATGTAAATAATGTCCATTAAATATTCGGAATGATGATTTGACCACTCGACTCATCAGAACACACACAGTGACATGAGCCGAGCTACTTGGACATGGTCACGAACAATGTTCGCCCATAACTCAACGCTAACAAATGATAGCTGCTTGCATAATATGTACGCATAGGACACCAGAAGTTGGAGAGTGCTAGTTTGCTATTGGAATGGCACCATTCTTCGGTACGAGTTGTAATTAGGTTGAGCCAAATAAACAATGAAGATTCTCCTGATCACATTGTATTTCTCAGTTGCACTTGAGTTACATTCCAGCAAATCGGCTTTACCGCATCAATTATAAAATAAATACAAGCTCATTTTAGTATTCATTTCTCTCTGCCTCTCTGCCTGTATGCTTCCTTCATTTAGTCTCCATATTTCTAACGATGGTTCTTAGTCATATAGCTTACGCGCATTATTTTAAAATGCCATTGTTTCGGCATGCATTTGATGATAGCCAATAATTTCGGAGCGCAAGCAATGCTACATGTACATTGCGAGGATAGTTATCAAGAGCAATTCGACTGGAACGGTGATTATAACCGACCAAACGGAGAGAACGAGAGTGAAATGGTTATCAACCACACACAAGCGCATAACTTTCTGTGGATTGTAATTAGGCGGCAAAAGCTTAATATTAAATAGGTAGATTCAATCAAATCTGAAATATTTCAATTGGATTCTGTTCATTCTCGGCGTGTCTATCGCGCGCTTTTGCCTAGTTTTCTTATTGCTTCGCTATGCATGCGTATGCACATGTGTGTGTGTGTGTGTGTACAGGACTAAGACAGGAGTCCATGGTATTTGACGATTAAATAAATTAGTGAAATGGATTTCATATCCAATTATGTGAATCAGAGGTGTACCTGTACCATGTATATCATGGATGCGGTTATATCGATCGTCGATTCATTAGCGACTGAATTATTTCCTTGAAAATATGTGTACCACAAGCTACTGACGCTTTAATTATGCGGTCGAAGAGAAGAACACAATTTCTTAACGAGGAATTTCATAATTAATCACACAAAGGGAGATCGTTGCTCAATTTTATGGTGGGATGGCCAAAATACGGTGAATTGCGCAAAGTTCGGTCCGTAATTTTACTAATTGCCTTTAAAAGATATGTAATGGTAGGTTTGAAACCGCACTCGTCCGGCACGTATCACCAAAAGGAATGTTTAAAATTAAAATCAATGTAAACTCCGACCAAAGCGAACATTCCCTGCATTCGCAAAAAAAACCATTACACAGTGTCACTGTGTATCATTCCGATATATAGATTATCCCAAACGGGATACATGCATAAGCACACTGCCGTCACGATTTCGAATGCCAGCGGCGACAGCGGCAATGATCACAAAATGCGCGCATGTATCAGCTTGAACACATTTTATTCATTAAATATGACAACTTTTAGCCATTGTCACGAGGATGTGTTTCACAGCGAGAAAATGTATTTTTCATTGTTGACCGCGAGGGCTGCCGCTTGCTGTTCTGTCATTTTATTTGTTATTTTAAACTCACGCAGCGATCGTTTTAATATATAAATTATGCCGATGTTTTTTTTTCAATCTGCTGCACATTATTATCCTTACCATTTACGGCTATTCCATAAATACGACCATTCATTCATTTTTCAATTTATTTTCGCTCTATTTTTTTTCTGTTGGAGAAAGCGAGGGAGAAAGGTGCTGAAACCGTATTCAAATTTCATTTCGCTTTTGTTGACGTTTATGAATTGAATTGTTGTCATTTTTCAACGTCAAAAGGCGTAATCATTTCATCCCGAATGGATGTCTAGTTTTTAAAAATGACAAAATGGAACATTCATTGCAAACATTAATGCGAAAACAAAACTTATTTCAAAATGAATATGTTTTCCAGTTCATTGCCAATTATTATTATCTCTTCAAATTGTCCATCACATTTAAGCAGTTGAGTATTGTATTTGCATGAATTTTGGCTCTTGCAGACCATTAAATTTGGAAAACTTGAAGAGAAAATAGTTATAAAAATGGATAAGTACAATCATGATATCCTGATATCAGGCGTAAAATTTACGATTTAAAAAGTCATAAAAAATTTGTCATAGCTGTGCTTGAACGGTTAGAAAAAAGGGGAGAGACATTTTAAATCATACACACAAATTTCAAAATCGATTCAACGCTAATTAAGAGTGTGATATAAAAAAGAAAGAGCTAAAAAAGTCCATCAAAATAAAATCAAATAAAACCCATACTATTATTCTGTAGCTGGAATACTTAAAATTTAAAGAAGAACGCTTTAAAATGTTGAACAATGACTTTTAACTTTCTTTAATTGGGCGGTTTTTGGGCGGTTTTTGGGCTGTTCGCATGAAAATTTTATTGCTTCCACCATAAAAAGTGAGTTAAAAGTAATTCGGTGTATTGACTTTGTGGAGATTTCTCTCTTTGATTTAAGAAATTCTTCTCGTGGAATTTTATGCCGTTGAGAAATACAACTCCCCGATCGCGGAGAGTAAACAACTTTTTTTTCAGTTTCAGTCGAGTATTCTCTCTTCAGAAAGAGAGAACAATCGCATTTTGAGCATAGAACAATTTAAAGTATAATCCAAAAAGATGTAAATAGTTGAATTGGAATACAATGGAACAATTTTCTCTGCATTAACCTAATTTTCAAATATTAAGTGCTTTTTTCTACGAATTTTGTATTTGTTTCGAATTTTTTAGTTTACTATTTTTTTTTTTGCATCTAAATCCAATATGTTATTATGACTAATTTTACCAACAATTTTGCTAATTCTCTGAATGTTTCTTTGGTCGTATTACAATTTTAATTGACAGAGAAATTGTCACCTGACATTCCAAGTGATCGATTTTGTTTTGTTCAAGTAATCTACTATTGCTAAATGCTAATCTAATGTATTGATTAAACTCATTTTAAAAGTCTAACGTTTTGCCACATCGAAATACATTGCTGTAATTGAAGTTAAAATATATCGCATTTGTCATTGATTTCTGTAAGTTACACAAAAAATTGCTGATTGCTATTCAAATTGTGAATCGTGCAGTGGAAGTTGTATTTGAGCAAATATGAATCATTCTAAAAGTAGGGGAATATTTTTGAAGATTTTGCATCCAAGGATAGTTTTTTTTTTTTCATGAAAAAATAAAGCCAATTCAAGTGAGCAACTTCGCACGTTATTCAAAAATTGAATTTTATCAAAATTATCTAAAAATGTGTTCAATTGAGTTGAAAAAATATTCTGCGAGAGAGATAAAAATGCATGACCCAGACTAAAACACACTTAAAAAATATATATTGAGCTTTTTAGTAAAAAAAAAACGTGAAACTGCTTAAGAGTTGAGTAAAAATCTACGAAATTTGTCTACTTAAAATTCCACCAAAATCTTTTAATCAAGCTAAATATTGGTTAAAAAAAATTATTTGGGAAAAATTTCGATTGGAATGAGTAAAAAAAAACAAATATTTTAATTGATTGTTTAAAAAAAATTGTAAAATTGAATGTGCTTCTTACTGATAAAGTTAAAATCTAAATAAAATCTAGTAAAAATCCGCCAATACTTTATAATCAGGCAGATAAAAAAAATTGCTTTTGATTCGATTGAGAGAGACGGATGTATATTAATATTTTTAAAAAAATCGTCTACGAAGCATCAATTTGTAATTAAATAAATTATTTTGAGAATGCACTCGCCGAGTTTGTCATTTGCAGAGTGAGAATATAACTGTCTTAAATGGAATATTCGATATAAACGGTTTGGTTGTTTTCATACAGTGTTTTTCGCGGAATTTTCCTTTGTCATTTGATCATAGTGAAAACCAAAAATAAGACGACAAAAACGTAGAATAGAACCCACAACCCATATATGAATGTTTCGAAAGTGAAATGACAAAATGTACAAATTTTTCTTAGAAGGGGACAGATAAATGAGCCTTGAACTGATGTGAGTAAATACATATATATATATATATATTCGAATCGCCTCGATATAGAAATGGAAATGGTGATGAAAAAAACTTGTTGTTGATTAATTGGTGATTATATAATTGGTGTTTGTGTGCGTTTATCGATAGTTTTACAATCGTATAAACTGGGTTAGCCAAGATATAAAACGTAAGTAGATATTCAGCGTAACGCAAAAAACCGAAATAAACAAAAATTATGTTGTTTTTGTATTTTGTTTTTTTTTTTAAATCGAAGGGAGGAGGAGGAGAAAAACGGTTAGTCGATGCCGTTACGAAGTAAATACTTACTGAAACGTCTCATTAGATTTGCTGCGATTGAAATTGGTTCTTTTCTTGACTTGATTCGTGGGTTTTCGCTAATTGAACGATTGTATTTGATATTTGGCACGGATAACAAGCGTTGATTGCGATTCGAATGGGTGCGCGGTGGTGGAATTGGACGCCCGTTGTCATCAAACAGTGGTAAATCGGATGGTCGTGATTGACGAGCCCCTTCTGAGTTGGCCGCCGTCACTTTCATTACTAGCTCATCGGATACATCGGATCGTCGGGTTTGTAAGCATTGTGGCTGCGACATGACACGTCGTTTCCAATCAGCATCTGGATCGACGGATGATCGACGTTCCATGGCTGTGTCGTTTTCGTCATTGTCGGAACGCTCTTCAACATCGGAATTTGCATTCAATTCGGCCAATTGTTGAACAATCGACCGTTCGATATTATCTAAATCGCTGGCACTGGTATTAGGCAGAGATGCTGACACATAACCGGGCATTTCAACGGTGATCGGCGATACTTCGATCGGTGACAGTGGCATTCCGTCGGTTGGCCCAAAACGATGCACATCGTCGCTGAATGCCATATTGACTTTGCTGATGCGTTTTTTAATATTTAAAGCTTTCTTCCAAATCGATGATTTGCGGCGATTCTGCGCCATTTTCTTACTTTCCTCGTCTTCGTCTTCGTTCGGACTCAACGCTTCTTGAGCCTCTTCGACCGCCGGCGATGCTGACCGTGGTGATACACCACTGCCACCCGCCTCAATCGGCGACGGTGGTATTATCGATGGCATAAACTGAACCGTTTTCGTTGGACTGCTCGAAAAATCTGGCACACTCTAATAACACATAAAGGATGGTTTCCCATTTAGAATTTAGTGTTTGACCATAAATTCAGTTTTCCTCATCATTCAAGTACGTTAATTGAAACCATTAAAATCATCAGAAACACAATCAAGTTTCTATACAACAAACTGAACGGAATGTGTGCTTCTGCGAAACATATATATGTCTAAAATATCTGTTGACAATGTCAAATGTACATGTTTTGAATGACAACTGCATATATATATTGTCTATGTATATATTGTTATGCCTATGAGTATTCTCTGCGTCAGTTTGAGATATGAAAATAGCTCAATTGTTCTGACAGTAGTCTATAAACAACTCAGAATAATTGATTTTCTTCTTACAACTACTATAACTGCTACTTGTTAGCTCTTTCAAGCCATCCAATCGTGAAAGAGCGTTCGTTTGTGTAAAATTCTATTACTTACAAAGTTTGTTTCTCTGCAGTTACCACAAATAGAAATGAATCAATATTTTAAGGCGATTTTTTTTCCTCTCTCAACCTGAGATCATTTTTAATTAATTAGAACGTCGCTCAAAAGAGAATCGCTATCGAAATTTAACGATGACATTGCAGCGCTGTACAACGTGCTCAACTAATGAATAAAGTATTTTCGATATTTTATTTTTATTGCTTCCAAATTGTTTTTTTATGGTTCGAGTTTTGCAGTGGCACTTAAATAGAGTTTTCACAAGTAATTGTCGGCCAAATCGTTTCTGAGAAATTGAGCCAATGGAATCATGATTTCAATTATCGGAAAAATTGTTGATGAATTTCAATGGATTTCTTTCTTCTTTTTTTTCCCTTCATTTTATTTGTGAGCAATGTGTACGTGCACTTGAGAATGAGACACGATGAATATTGTATTGTGTTGACAAACGAACAATAAGACAAACAGTGAAAAGCAGCGAACTTTTTTGAAGTCGAACAATGCCAGTCGAATTCTGTTTGAATCATAAATGATAACATGATGAATGAAATATGTGCCATCTTTGTTTAACGGTTGAGCAATGGGAAACACACAGAAAGAGATTTTCCGACAATAAATGTCGAATTGAAATATTGAAAAATGACATAGACAATGCGGAAAAAAGTCCAGCCCGAATGCACGATGGAGCGATTCGAGCAAAATGTTTTATAATTTGGATATAATGATGTTGGCCCGATGCTTCCAAAAGCACTTCCAAAGCGATTATTTGCCTAGGCAGAGCCGGGGAAATGGAATAATGGGAAGTGATTTGGTTTGGTGAAAGCAACCGAATTGAACATATTTTTTCATCACTGACCATGATAATGGCAAATGAAGTTCACTTAGAATGGGAAGGAAAAAAATATCTTAATTAAAATCGTTACATTCCCGGGCTAGAATCGACATAGAAGAGAATATTAGCTGGAATAAAGCGAGTGAAAGAGAGAGAGAGAGGGATGCAATGAGCAAATGGAAGGAAGGAAAAAATGTGAAAGCACAAAAAGAGCTCTCAGAAAGCAAACATTAGCAGCCAGCAGGGATTTCCGAACTATTGTTTAAAAAAAATTCCTCCGACGCGCAACGAGCTTTGAGCAAACGGGATGCACGTTTGAAAATATCAAAACGAATAAATCCATAAGGAATTTGTATTTGAACAGCTCGATATTCTCTGCCATCCAGCACCGCTCCACCATGCTGGCACCATGCTCACAAATGAATGAAGCGCAAGCGATAGAAAAGATGGAATTTTTTCAAGGTATTTTCACTGACAGTTATTGTGAGATGATGATGACTGCGATGGAAGTTAATTAGCACTACCGATGAAATAGTCAGCAATGGATACGTGCAAACTATCGTGGTTGTATCTCGAGTTGCGCATAAATACTAGATGTAACGAACACATGCCAATCTGAAGTATGCGATGGGAAAACGGATGAAAAACACGAGAATATACACGCAAATAGACAGATGCTGTTTCAATAGTCGGATGTTGCTGGTCGAAATGCCAATTGCAAATATTTCGATGTAAAATATTCCATTTTATTTGATAGCCGGTAGAATTTTCGAATATTTGGCATCGATGAAAATTTAATTTTACTGTTGCAAAAATTCCTTTTTTTGTCATTCCTCAACGAAATTGAGAATATTTTTTTTTATTCCAAATAATTTATTTCATTCACTGTTTCATTAGCCAACCGTTTTCGGTGCATTGCACTACATGAAACAGAGACAAACGATTGAGATGATATACGAAAACAAATGACACGGATTAAATTCAACTCTGATTACAAATTATTGTCATAATTCTTTCTTTCTGGCCGAACGTAGCTTTCTCGGTTTTGTTGTGTTTCCAAAGAAGTAAATATTTGTAGCTTGAATTGGTACTGATAAATTGCAAAGCGTAAAAAAAAATGAAATTGAAGGTAATGCGCATCATTAAAATGCGATATCAAGATAATAAATGGTACAATTTCGAGTGTAGCGTAGAGTGGCACGTGCTTACAAAAGGTGGGACAAACGAGGAAATGGCACTGCAAGTAACAGCGAGCATCGCGATAGACAGTTGGAGAGAGTGAGCGAAAGGGAAAGAGAGGTGAACGATAAAAATAAAAATACAGGCAGGCAGCGATGCCATGATATTTTCGACATTGCAGTAATGGATTCCATTGGAATTGTTTATGTGCGCACATTTGGTCGCTGCTTAGTTTTTCACATTTTTTTTTATTTTTCATTTTTTTTTTTAGAATGTATTCACTGGATTAAATGGAAAGCGAAGAAGAAAGAGGGAGAGAGAGAGAGAGAGAGAGAGAGAGAGAGAGAGAGAGAGAGAGAG